TGTGGCTGCGGGCTGTGGACCGTTCGCTGTTGCTCCAGGGCTGGCAGGACCAGGCGTTTGTGACTCCGGCCAATGTGGTGTTTGTGTACATGCTGTGTCGTGATGTGGTGGATGGCGACTCGGTTTCTTCAGAACACGAACTACAAGCAATTCTACTCACCTGTCTGTACCTGTCCTACTCCTACATGGGGAACGAGATCTCTTACCCACTCAAGCCCTTCCTGGTGGAGGCTGGTAAAGAGGCATTCTGGGACCGTTGTCTGGCCATTATTGATGTGACCAGTGCCAAGATGCTGCGCATCAACGCAGACCCACATTTCTTCACGCAGGTTTTTGCTGATCTAAAGAGTGAAGGAGGTTGCAGTTTGCAGGACTACGCTAGAGTTTTAGATCGGTGAAAAGAGGAACTGGCAGAGTTTTTCTGCACAACAACACTGTCATCATCCCACAACATCAGTATGGCCCCCCCATATGCCTTGTCACACAACACTGGGACTCCGTTTTACTGTAAGAAACAATCCTGCTGAAAAGACCAGTTTAGACCTGTATGAATGTCCAGTTATGTTGGTTTGGTGTTGCTACCATCTGCATTAGTTTTTACAGTGGGAAAAGAAAGCATATGTATAACAATAACATACAATCTTAAAAATTAAGTTTCTTAATTGGTCTCGATCATACACTAAAGAACGAAGTAAGCTTTTCCAATCTACAAAATGTTCTTCATGGGGGAAACGTTTCTTTTCATCATTGACATGTTACAAATATATGGGAAAAACTGATCATTGAAAAGTTTGTGTTACCCAAATGGCTCTAGTATGGCATCACTGTCAAATCCTTTATTTTTAAGATTGTATGTTGGGTAAGGTAATGCTTATGAAACAATTATGAAAATACTCTTCAGTTATTAGACTAATTGTTCTGGCAGTTTTTTGTGGAACGCTATTTATTTTTATTTTGAAAGTCTCTTTTTAAAAAGAGTGCACGCAAAGGTGAACCCAGCTTTTCAAGCCCATCATCCTAAAAATTTAACACATTAATAATGAATATCAAAAAGAAGGGAGAAATTTGTACTTTTGAAACCTAAGCTGTTTTCAAACCCTGCATTTTTCTAATGTAGTTACAAGTCTTTTGTTTAACCTTTAATTCCTCTACATTTTCAATGATTATTCTGTAAGAAACTACAAGACCAACCAACCAACAAGGACAATGTTAGTGGAAGTGTGTATGTGTGTGTGTGTGAGCAAACAGTGAGCATCAACAGCTGCTGGTTGTCATGTCGTCCTTCCTTTATTTCATGTGCTGGACTTTGGGGCACCAGCTGCAATGGCATTAACAAGATTAACAGATTACTGTCACACACACACATACACGAACTCTCTGAAAGACAATTCTCAATGCCTCTCCCTGCTCGCCAGCTCTATAGGTTGAATGGTTAATCCATGTAGGCCATACACACTGTTATGTTCTGAATTGCACGTCTTGCAAGCAATACAGTGTCATTGAAAATCTGTGTCAAGTTTGAATGAGTCTATAAGTATATGATATCCCTCTGAGGCTTGATGGATATGAATAGAGTCCTGGATTCTCCAATGAAAGATCAGGTGCAGTTAAAATGTTGCTTTTAACCTGCATCTGCAGTTTCTCTCTTTAGAAGAACATTGATTTTAATGTTAGTTTCTTTCTGAGTTTAGTTCCTGAATTCAAAAGTGAAATTATTTATTTTAATAACAAATGTTGTAGGTGATGAAGGCATCACACTAAAAATACTAGTGTAGATACTATTTTTCTTCAAGAGTTAAGAGCAATTAATAAAAATTTAATTATTTTGAATCTTTGAATAATATTATATTATATTATATTATATTATATTATATTATATTATATTATATTATATTATATTATATTATATTATATTACATTATATTATATCATATTATATTATATTATATTGTATTATATTATTTAATATTTTTAAATTAAGCATTTTTTATCCAACTGGCAGATAATTGTTTTTATAAGCATGAACTCATTTTGATTCATTGTTCTGTAAAGAAGACTTTGCTTTTTATTTTGCATCTTATTAGAATATTCAGATAAAGCAAGACAAATATGAGAATACTTAGATAAAGCAAGACAAAGAATTGATAAAAAAAAAACTTCCAAACGATTTATCATACAATTAAAAACCAAAAATTAAAATGTAAATATTGTCAGTGGCCCATGCACATGCAGATACAACAGATGCCCTCTTCTTTGGGTCAGGGTTTCAGGTGTCAGTGCTCAGACAGAAGAGCAGAGACAGCAGCATGTGGCACGGCAAGCACTCGTTAATCTTATTGTGGCGTTTTAAGGCAGGGTTATGGGCGCCATATTCCAAATCCCCCGCAAAAACAACTTCGAACGTTTACTGCAGCCCACGCGTGCTTTTGAATATGAGCACACATGCTCACTCATAACCATTACAAATACATTCTCAGGCTAGTAATTGCTAATGCAGCAATATGCACGTGCATATGCATGCACCTTCTCCCACATGCTGAAATGATAATCCGCTCTTGATCCTTGCCAGCTATTGGCTAGAATGAACTGAATATGCCATAATAACAAATTGGCATTCATATCAGAAGAGATTTCACTCTGGAAACAAGCAGAGAGGACATAACTTGTATTTTTACAGTTATGTAATAAATAAGAACTTAAATATTTGTTAAATATTCATTTCTTCCAAATCTGACTGTGAGAAGTTGGAAAAATTAGAGTTTTTACTTGTTTTAAAAAGGTTTACAATTGTAAAAAATCTTACACTTAAAAAAGATCACTTACTCAAAATTTTTATTCAATAAGCTTTAAAATGCTTTAAAAAGTGCAACTGAGGTGTTTAATTTGATATTACACCTAAAGTTCATATATTTTAAATCTCCTAAATTGATAATTATTAAATTGCAAGTCATGCGAGCTGGGTAATATCAAACAATAGAAAGCTGATCTCAAATAAGTTCTTATGTATTCTTTTCCTACTTCCTGTTACAACAGAGAATAAGGGAATAAAGGAATAAAAAAATTATACAAGAATATAACAATCTAAAATTGATCATTTAAGTATGACTTAATACAAACTTTTAATTTGATTTAACCCCAGAACAATCTGATTTATGTATCAATGAGTTACTTTGAGGAAGATGTATGTTCTTTTAAAGAGAGTTGGCATGTATCCAGATCTCCATATCCATTTCAATCTCATGGGATGAAGTTATTTACAGTAACTTGTGGCCATATTCTAAAGATTGGCACAGTATAATGTGTAAACATCCCTCCTGATCTGCTGTGATTCCCCCGTCCTTCTCGCCTTTCACAAACACATCACTTGTTTACCTCACCCTAGTTTAAGTGATTTAGTTTGCCCTTATTGTGTAGACAGAGCTCTGACAGAGCGCCGTTGTTGCTTAGCTAGCGTGCGCAGCCTTAGCAATGGGCTTGTGCGATGTGGAGTCGTCTGCTGTGTTTCCAACTAGGACTCTTTGCCCTCACACTCTCGTGTCTGGCTCGGCTCCATGTGCCTCTGCTGGAACTGTTTCTCCTTTGTTTCTCACTCATGTGTACTAAAGCTCTGGGATTTCTCTTGAATATTTGCTGCCTTTGAATCTTCATAGGGAGTTCCTAATTATGAGTTTTGTAAATTGTAATTATGGCATGATTTTGGCTGGAATAGAATGGATTTGTTGGACAAAATTAAGAAAGCATTAAGAGTGTGATGTTCCGTTTACATCAAAAATGATAACTAAAAGTGATAGGTGATAAAACTGCTGCTTGCTTTAATTGTAAACTTAGTGTTATCATGCATTGGTGTTGTGGTTATTTGGTGTGGAGGCATTAATGGGATAGTTGACACAAACATTGAAGTTCTGTCATCATTTACTCACCCTTTACTTGTTTTAAACTTTACCCAGAGTTTCTGTTGAAGTCAAAAGAAGATATTGTGAAGAAAACTGGAAACCTATTGATATCAATGTTGTTTCTTTTCCTACTGTAGAAGTCAATGGTTACAGGTTTCATCTTTCTTCAAAATATATTACATTGTGTTTAACAGAAGAAAAAAAAAACTTAGAAGGTTTTGGAACCACTTAGTAAACTTTCATTTTTGGGTGATTGACCCCTTCAACTCATTAGCATTGTCTGGACCCCTCATTCACATTATACAATGTGCACACAAATGTATCCCCTCTCTACCCCAATCTACCCCAATCTACCCCAATCTGAATGGGATTTTAACTGGCAAGTCCAGCATGAGGTCAAAGTGGTTTATTATTGACATTTACTTGCTGGCATCCTCAATACTCACCCCCTCAAACCCTCACCTTATCTGGGTCACGGCATCATTTTTTTATTTTATTTTACCGTTATTTAACCAGGAAGTCTCATGTCTGGAGATTTAAAATCTCATTTTCAAGAGAGACCTGGCTAAGGTAACAGCCATACAGTAAAACAATTTTCAAAATAAATAAACATCACATAACAACAACATTTCATCAGTCCTCTAAACAAAAACAATCGCATGCCTCCCATACTGCTCTCTTTATAATGCCTTTAAATTCACTGAAAGACACAATTTTATTTAGTTTTAAGTCTTTTTGCTATTTATTCCATGCCCTAAGGTGCAAAATAAGAATACACAGTTTTTCCCAGCTCTGTAAAAAGTTACTCTTTTGATTCATTTCCATCAGATGTAGAAATACTAAAATGATTACATTTACCAATATAAATGAATGTTCAAAATGAGCAGGTTTAAACATGGAAGTGAGTGCCAACAATAACACTTAAGACTCCAGAATCTAACATAAGTCCCCCGTGTCCCTCTTGAGTCCAAGGGATGAGTTTTAGTAGTCTGTAGACATTCACCCCCTAAAACCCCACTCCCACTCCGGGTCACGGCAACAAATTAATCCCTTGCAAGTGGGATTCAGATTGGTATTAATGGTGTGATATTGTCATGTGCATTTTAAGGTGAAGGTTAAGTAGCTATTGTCTGTTGTTCCCTCCACTTCCATAAACCTCACTCCCATCTGGGTCATGGCACGAATGAAACCCATCTGATTCTGCCCAAACTGCTCTGAGCAGGATTGTAACCAGACTTATCAGCTTGGAAAAGAGGGACTAACAAGGGTCTCTGAAGACTTTGGCCTCTGATGTCAGTTGCTAGTGTGCTTCTTAATGCCATGGGAGTGAGGTTTACTCACACAGCTCATACTAGCTGGCCTCATAAACCAAAACGTATTTGTATGAAAAATCTTAGGAATTACAGGATGTCCAACTTATAATTAGGACATTTGAACAAAAATGTCAATTATTCAAAGGCAGAAAGTATTCAGGTTTTCTCTGAACTTGTGGTGAATGGTGTTAAGTATTCCTGATGTAAAATGTTTGTGCCTTGATTTGGATATACATAATCACTCTAAGCATTCAGTAATATTATTGAGTTTCAACAGAAGACAGCAACCCAACAAAAGTCATGACTTATAAACGGATTGAACTTTTATTTACTCAGGCTTAGATTGTCATAACTTATGAGCCATTTTCCTCTCCATCAACACTACTGTTGACAGAATTATTTCTTCTGTTGCCATTCAATCAAATGGACCTATGTGGACATTCCTGCACAAATGTCCTCATTGCACCTCATGATCTGCTGTACATGGACAAACAATGTGACAAAAATGTGACAAAACAAGCACACAGAGACCTCAAATCCTTTTGAATTTTCCAATAAAGGAAGCTTCTGTACTTACACAGACATAAACTTCTGGAATGGATGACTGGCATGTGATTTTCACGTTTTGGACTACTGAATTAAAGACACTACACTATGTGACTTTATTTGGACGCTCAGGATGTTAAGTAGACTCTATTGCAATCTGCAAGTGGCCGTTACTCTATGAGTTATGGCTACTAAGATTTATCAATGTTTCCAATGCTGCTAAACGTATGTAGAATACAAAAGGAACGCCATGTAGAGTCTCTCACAGCAGAGATAAGCGTAAACTAGCGTGTTGTAAATATGTTGCTTATATTGTAATAAGAAATGACTGAAAATACTGCATGTATATCATTCAGGAATTGCTACAGTGGTGGTGTACATGTCAGCTCAAATCTTTTTTTTTAATGAACTGTCTTTTTTGAGTTTCATTTTTTACTTTTATTTTTATTTACTTAAGTTGTACTTCAGTTTTTGAGGTAAACAGGAAGTTCCACAATGTTTGATTGTATTATGATTACTATTTGTACTCAAAAAGATCCTATCAACTCATCCCATGTTTGGGAAATGTTATGTCAACAGTATTACAATGTTAATTTCAGACTTCAGTTTGCACTGTCGTTTTTGATGTGGTTATTTTAGTCACAGTTTCTTCTGTGCACTTAGGCAATTATAATAAATTGCTCTAAATACTGACATTTATCAAAATAAACCAGTGATAGTTCTTAATGGTGACACGAGTAAGTTTTAATTAAAG